TTTTCAAGAGACACCGACGTAATTTCCTACCACTCGTCTCACGATGCATTTTAATTTACCTCCTTTCACAGAGTTTGCCGTCGTCGCGACGTCGTCGTCGTCGTCGTCGCCGTCGGTGATTCGTGAGTCGGTGTCGCGCCTCGAGAACTTCCAAGGGGTGGCTCTTTGGGGGTGTTTTTGATTTGTTGGCTCTCATGGGACGGCTGTTGGAGAAGGAGAGGGTGCGAGGTATCGCGAGAAACGGAGACAGACCGAGTGACGTGCCGGCAGGGGTGAAAGGAGAAAAGGGAGAGAATTTCGCGCGAAACGGCCGCGTGTTTACGAGGGTGAGAGGGGGAGAGAGAGAGAGAGAGAGAGAGAGAGAACGGACAAGGTGAAAACCATGGGCGTACGACGGCGCAGTGGGACGAACGAAGGAGTGGTTGGGTAACCGCACATTATGTGATTTCTACAGGGAGCTAGCTAACTTTGCGATTGAATTGTACCGGCGACAATGGCAATCTGCCAGGGCACTCGACGGTTTCACCAAGCAGGATTTTCAACGATTTTGTCGCGTTTTACGTCGCTTTAAATTCCTTCGCGATAAGAATGGATACGCGAAACCCGACGGCTGATCGTTCGTTGACTCGTTTCCCTTGCGTCGCGCCGCAGCCTTCGTTTCACCGGGTAATCTCCGATCGATCGTGGGTTTATTATTTGTTTTTTTTTTTTTTTTCACTTGGAGGAAAAGAGGCTGCATTTTCCAGAAACATTAAGAAGTCTTGAAACGTTCGAATGGAAGGAACGAAGGGTTGTTTAATTTCGAATAGAACGCATCAGCCTCGCCGCGCGAAACCGAGGGAATAGAAAAGTGTTGTTTTAAATTTTGACGGGATACGAGGTCGGCTTGTACCGGTTCGACAGTTAATATTTGAACAGGATCGAACGGTGCGGTTGTCGGTCGAATCGGTGCCGTCTACGGTAAAGCGCGAGAGGAAAAAAAAGAAAAAAGTGGTACGCGAAAACATTACGATTTTAAAATTCGAGAGAAAAACCGATTGTTTCCCGGTCGAGCGTGAGCCAACTACCTAGCAGGTTGCTTCGCAAAGAAAGACGATTTTCAAATATTTACGCGAACGTTCCGCAAACCAAACGAAATCGAACCCGACCAACAATCCTACGCTCTCCTTCAAAAAGTTTCCTCTCTACTTAGAGAAAAGCTATCGCCACGAAGCGAACACGCGGAAACTTTGCCGGTCCTCGAATCTCTGTATATCGACCCTGTCAAACAAGGGGACGCGATTGTTTTCGAATCGTAATAGCACGCTGCTTACGCGGATTTCGTGGGGGAAAATTTTGCGAGATCTTTGTCGTTCCTTTCGAATCGTCGAGCTTCAGATTCAGACGCTTTGACGGTTTTCTGAAAGAAAAGTCGAAGATAATGGAAGAAAAAGGAAAGATAATCGCGACTCGTCATTCTCGTACACAGAAAAATTCTTTTCCGATAACTACACTCGGCTATTACCGCTAACCCGCTCCCCCCGTACGCTCGATATCTTTGTATCCCTTCGTTCGTTTCTCTTGCCTTTTTACCACCCCTTTTCTTCTTCCATGCGTCTTCCAGCGCCGGCGGGCTCGATGGATAGCCGCTATTTGTTTTTCGTTACGCGAAATTGCGACCCGGTATTTCTCGAGGGCTCGGCAAACTACGCTCGCCATCGACCACCGACCGTAAGCAGGACAGTCGCCGTCTTAAAGAACGTACGTATTTAGTTTTCGCACGCGGACCCGTTTCTACCCTCGGCAGGCTTGAATCGGGACAGAGATAGAGAGAAGAAAGGAATAAAGATGGTCGAGCGCGATGGGAGAAACTGCGAATGAACGTAAGACGAAGAAAAAGCAGGCAGAACGAAATTATGGCCCCTCGGTTCGCGCTCGAGTAATTTGCCGTAATTTGCCTCGGTTCCGTAAATCGGATGCATTTCTTTCTTTCGCGGTTGAAAACGACCGGGAGCTCAACTCTTTCATCTTTTTTTTCCCTTCCTTCGTATCCCCGTTCCAGTAATAATAGTTACCTTTTCTACGAAGCATTTAAACGTTTTGCTGTATGCGATGATCATGCTTGTAAAAAGGAAATTCCGCATTTTCTGTCCGGAATATTGGCCGAATTGACAAAGCAGAGTTATCCTTACCGATTTGCCCGGAGGAGTCGCGATCTCGGTTCGCCTTTCGAGTCGAACTGAAAACGCGTTTACCAAGATGATGTACCGCGTGCTTAGATGTTTGACATTGCCACAGTCTCGTTGCTTCTTTTTTTCCTCGGAAGGGAGGCGAGACGAAAGGAAACGAAACGAAACGAAACGAAACGAAAATCGTGTCAGAGACGGGTGTACGTAGGACGTAGTTTCCTTGGACTTTCACAGGAACGGCGCTACTTTCGGGGCAAGAAATTCCCTTGCGAACTGGCTCGTTTGCGAAATAGATGACAGACGGAAAGTCTCTCCATTCTTTTTGCGAAATGGTCTCGTCTTGGGGGAACAACAGAGTGCGGTAAGTTCGACGAGTTGTCGCGAAGAAGAAACGACAGGCAAGGAAAAAGATTCGTGTCCTGGCGACGCTTACGTGCCGGTGCCGCGGCAAAGTCGCACGGTAATAAAAGCTTCGGAAAAGGATAGGTCACGGCGAAACTTTGCTATTCGTTCGAAGCGAAAGACGAACAGAACGTCGATTCTTTCAACGTTAACAGCCACGAACACGATCGCGGACACCTTTTACCATTTATCCACTCACGGATCGACGAAATAAAATCTTTCCTATCCGGATACTAGCGCTACTAGCCGGCTGTCGGTATCGTTAATCACTCATTCGGGAAATAAAATCATTCGTATATTTCGAATCGATCGAGCGTGCCTCGTATATTTCACCGTTTATATAGATCGTCAATACGTGACACAGACCCGCCACTGTCCCGATCGCGAAAAACTTTGATTTATTTTAACGAAACGAAATTTTGATAGAATTGTTTTAACCGTCGGGTCGTCCGTTAACCGCAGGCCTGGTTGCGATTCGATCGAAAATGAAAAACGTTGCGTTTCTAGTTGGCGTTTTTAGAGAGAGATAACGCGTATAGAAAGACGATTCGAACGAATCGTTGAATCGATCATGGAAAATTCAGGCGATGGATAGAGAGGATGGAAATGGTGAACGAGATGGTGGAATTGGTGCGAAGGGACGCGTCGAAAGTTTCGGTTCGTGCGGCAAAGTTAAACGGTGTTGCGCTGAGTAGCTTTCGCGTCTAAGTGCCCTTCCTAGATAGAAGGGAAATTTCCCCGTACACTTGCCACGTAGTTGAGCCACCAGTAAATTTCCATACTCGGCAAACGGCTTGCGTTTTATTACCATTGCGGTCTTCCCCCTAGATTATGATCACGAAATATACAACTATTCGGACAGCGGCCGAGCGCATCCCCCGCGCGAATACGCTTTCCGGGGATAATCAGCGTGCCGCATGTAAACACTCGCGAAATGTTTGCCGATATAATCGAGGAGGCCGGTATTGCGAGATATACATATAGAGAAATCAAAGCGCCAACTGGCTCCGCTAATGGTAAATCGATTCTCATATAATCGGGGCGGACTCGAGTCAACGCGACGCGACGGGATTCGTTTTAATCTCACGCCCGACGAAACGATCGCTTCTTCCTTCCAGCTACCGAGTAATTTATCTACTTTCTCGTGCCCGTCCTTCCGTGCCAGAGACGCGGAAATCGATCGATTCGAAGAATAGAAAGCGCCAGGGGAAAAAAAAAAAAATAGAAAACGGACGAGGACCGTCTCAGTTATCGCAAACTTTTTAAGCGGAAATTCGTTCCCGATAGTACTTTGTATGCAACGATCGCGGCCTCGAATGCAACGCGTATCGCGAGATAGCTACGGATCGAAGAAACGTAGCGAGCTCCACGAGACGGGGTAAAAGTCGAAACACCTCGTTCTTCTTATTTCTCTTCCTCCTACTTTTCTTCTTCTTCTTCTTCTTCTTCTTCTTCGTCATCGTCGCTCGGTCGAGCCAGTTCGTCGTAGCAAGTGTCAACGAGGCGCACGGAAAAATATTTTTCCCTGGCTTTTGCGTAGCGAACGTCACGGGTGCGGAAAAACTTTCTCTCCAAGTTTCGCTTCTTCTTTCTCCCTTGCGTCTTCAGCTTTGTCATCGTCGCCGGAGCGTGCTGGACCGACAGAAAGGATACGACGACCCGACGTCGAATATTCGAGACGAATGGAAAAGAAGGTCGTCTCTCGTAGGTGGATACGAGAAAGGGATCAGCGGTGAAAATGTTGTCCAGGTGAATCGCGCGGCAAGGAATCTCGCGCTCTTTAATCGTTAATTAAAGTCGCGGTTAGTCTCCGATGGCTTTATTCCGAGTCGCGCTCGATTCTCGTTCTCGAAGGCACGGTAGGTCGTTACTAAAGTGATACAAAGTTGAATCGACGTCATGGAAACATCCCTGCGACGTTAAAGTACCAATAGGCAAAAGGTAGAACGAAACAAGAAAGAGGAAAAAGAGACACGGAAGGAAGAGGTCGAAATAGAGGGAAATGCGAGTACGTAAGGAGATAAGTGTCGCAACAGGGAATACAAAGTCTCTTGTTTGACTTTTTTTTTTTTTTTTTGTCTCTTTCCTTGCAGTCTGGCCGTCGCGTCGCAGCATATACGCTGCGTTCGCTCGGGCGTGAGCCAGAGGAAAATACTGCACCATAGTTGAACCGTACGTAATCTATATCCTCCAGCCCATCGTGCAGGCTGCTCGTATCCTCTGGAGTAGCTAGGCGCTATAAATTTCGCAGCTGAAAATCCCCCGATACGTACGCGTGCGTGCATCTGCTCGTTCGTTTGTCCGTTCGCTTGTTCATCCGCCGATACAACTTACCCTCCTACCCGCCATTTCCGCATATCTGTTGATCTGTACGCGGTGGAAGCTGCGAAAAACGCCGCGATCGTCCACGGGAAAAAAGAGCAATCTTACCTTTTCATCGGACCAGTTCCAGGACGTTTGCCTTTCGGTTTCGCGATACCATTGTTCCTGCTTTCTCGATCTACCTTTTGTCGTTCGAGCGAAAACAACGTTGCAATCTCGTTCGCAGTGTTGCAAAGTCGACGAAGATGAAGAACGAGCAGGAGCCTGTAAAAGAAAAACAAAGAATGTTAAAGTCGCAGTATATGAAGAGGGTTTTATATTATCCACGGTATATTTCTCACTGGCAGTTGCAGGTGGTACGCGTCTTCCTTAGCCGTCCGCAGCGAAACTATGGAATACGAAGTGCCCTCATGAATTTTCGATAATCCAAATTGGATTCCTCGATTCACCGGGCATCCGGTTCGAAATTGTTTTCCTCGAACCTTACGAACGCGAACAGCATTTTGGCGGTTCACCTTTTAATCAGCCGGTTTTGTCGCAGCTCGACCCTTGTTTTCGAGCATGTACCGTCGAACAGGCTAGGCAAGAGGAAATAAGTCGTAATTACTCTGTTACATCGGTTCGATGGCGGCATGGCAGCGCAGTCGATCCGGGTCATTAAAAGCCAAGCGCATTCGCTAATCTCAGCTGGCGAAGCGGATAATAACGAGCGAAACGTTTCGTGGCCTCTGGTATCGACCAGGTTTCGAGGTACGCGAAAAACCAGCGACCCCTGCCACCGGATGATCGATACACCGATCGTTATACTTTCGCCGGCGTTAATTTTTAAGCCGACGAGAAATAGAAAATCCACGTGGGAGACAAGGTTGTTTCAAATTCCGCACCATTAATCAGGATCAATTTGGTTTCGACACATTAATCTACTCGAGGGACGAAATTCAATGCGCCAACCAATTATCTGTATCGAGTGCCAGCTTTCAATCCGTTCGTTAGCGAGATGACAACCTGAAGCGCGAATATTCGCGACTTTATGTTTCTGGCAAACAACGGCCCTGTCAAAACTATCCTCGCTCATCCTCGATGCCGATTGATCACCAGTCCGTTCGTTCTTTCGTCCACGGTTTACTCAGCAGACGTTCGACAGGAAATCCCCGTGAAACCGGCATGGCAGCCACGAATTTAACCATTCGCAAATGAAATACTATCTGTTTTGATTCGAACGCGACGGATCAAAAGATTTTCCTCGCTCGATCGCGAACTCTATGGTCGGGCTGCTTTAATGCGCCAACACTCCGAATTCCCGTGAACGATCCTTTTTACCGGGACGTACATACACGAATTAGGAATTCAACGGTGCGTGTGGGGCTTTATTATATAAAACGAGCGGGGAAACGCGCGTTTCATTTTCCAGGAACGGCGGTCGGCCGTGGTGTGGCAAACCGAGCGAACGCTGAAATCTTCATGAACCAATGGAGCCAGGTTCGATAACGTAGCTAACCGATTATTCTGATTAGTACCGGGATATACGCGACGTAGAAATGTGTACGTGTACACAGGGTGCAGCTGCATCGGGGCTGGCTGATAAACTGTCGGCCGAAATTGAGGATCGACAAACCGGCTAAAACTATTCTTTCCCCCTCCCCGATAACAAATATCAGAAATTATGAACCATTAAACGGTGGTTAAACGCGAAAAACATTGGAAATACTTTAACGGTTTTCGAAAAAAGGTTTCACCGGTGAATAACGAGCGAGTGAAATTGAATGGAAATTAAATCGCGTCCCCTCGTTTCGTGCACCCTTTAACCTTTTTCTTGGAACTGGTGTGCTCGTTTGCTCGATACAACGGTTTCTACTTTCCACGTGGTCGATTTTTCCATTCGGCACCGCTGCCGGCTCGTTCGACGTCGATCACCGACGACGCTATTTTGTTGTAGGCGGTCGGATCTGAAACACGGACGATCGAAGGTAGGTTGCGAGGCAGCCGACTTACTTTGGGAAACGGTAGACGTTGTCGAGGGTAGGTAGAAGGGTAGCGTGCAAACACACTCGAATCGTAGTCGTTCGCATAACGGGCCGAGTATACGGGGCTGGGCCGTCTCGCGCGTAGATAGACCGATACAGATAGAGGGAAGGGTGCACGACGAAGGGGCGCGAACGTTGTTGAGCCTCCATCCTTCTCGTTCGTTGGCTCGAGCCAAGCAAAAGGGAAGAAGTGCACTCGCACAGGTGTCGAGGGAGCCGTACGGGGTTATAGGTATGGCCAGGTTGAGCCGTTGGTCTTGCTTAATCTGATTACAAGCGGACCAGGTGGGGGATCGATATTTTCGCGTGAGTTTTCCAGGCAATCGGCCGCGAGATAGCGCGGCTCGGCATATTTTATACGCGTTCAGCTTGGCCGACCCCATTTACAACCCTGTCCGTCCGTCCGTTCGTTCGTTCGTCCCTCGCTTCCTTCGTTCGCGAGTTTTATCGGCCGTTGTTGATCGAGTTTATGGTAGGGCAGGAGTATTTTTTCCAGCTACACCGACGAATTTCAAAGTGGACGCGTTTAGTGGAAAAATCGCGGGATTCCAACTGATCTCGGATGATATTACTCTGTAGCGATATTTATGAAGGATTAGGCGATCGCGGACGAGAGGCAATACCAGCGACGAAGCGGATTTCACGCGTGGATTTCGCGCCAGTGACGCGAATATTTGTTCAGAGGATAACGCATTTCCGAATTATCCGACCGGATTAAATTCCGAGTAATTGGAGGCCGGGGATACAATTCGAATTAACCTATCGGTTCTCCACTCTATATCGAGATCGAAGGCGTTATCGTTTTCCCGTTCGTCTTCTTTCTTTTCCAGTCGCGTCACGGCAAAAGTTGGAGAACCGAATATAATCTTTCCTTCGCATCCTATTCCTCGCTTCGTTCGTTCTTGCTGCAGAGGATTTCGAGTCCTCGAAGCGACGTCCCTTTACCGTACGTCTCGTTAGACACGGCGCGTGATGGATGGCTCGGTCGGTGGACGTCGACATTGCCGGGGTTTACGACCACGCGAAATATGTCTCCTATCTTGTACGTGATGCACCTATTTCTCCCTTACTCGCTCCTCTTTCCATTCGTCTACCCGTCTTTATCCTCGTATCTATCTCTTTGCGTTTTTACGAGCAACCGTCTCTCTACTTTGTAAGTTACTTTGCTACCAGGTCGACTCGACGATTTTTTCATCATCGAATACGAATCACTTTTATTTACACTCGTTTTCATACGTTGATTAGAGATTTCAACGTTGAATGGTATTTTGTCGAGGGTAGTACGAGTAGTATAAATCTTAGGCAACGACACGAAACGCGTCGTCGACGGGCTTCCGGTTATTCGTCGTGGTCGCGAGCAAGCAGTTTCCTCGAGTTCTTCGCGATTCGGCTGTTTGTTCACACGCAAGGGTACGGGCCGCAGCAAGTTTCGCGCCTTCGTGCGCGGCTGTCGAGCGAACGAACTCTTAATCAGATTAAACCCATTGATTTTTCCCTCTTTCTCTCTTCCCTCTGTCCGCGGAACCAGAGGTGGCGCACGATTTTCCTAGAAAATTTTTTGGACCTCTCGTCAGCGTTTCTAAATCTTCTATTTTGCTAACGCGATCCTCGACGATTTATGCCCTCGGTCGTTCGTAACGATAACGACAGCTCGGTAACGTTATCGTCGCGATTCAATTAACTCGCGCCCGGCAGCCACTTTCTTCCGAATCGTCGAATAATCTTACCGAGATTCTGCATGCCATTCTTCTCCGAGAACCGGAGGGATAAAAGCCAAGCTGACGGGGTGTAACTTGGACGCTTTGAAATTAACCCGGAACACGGCCAACTCGTCGAAACGTAAAAGTCTCTCTTCCAATTTCGAGCTTTCAAAGTCTAAGGATCGCGATTGTCCTCTCGCGCGTTTAACTCCGCGCTTAAACAAAGTCGTTCGTCCCGTTCTAGTTTCTTCTATTTCCATGCATTTTCTTTTTCTTTCTTTTTTCGTCACGGTTTATGGCACGCTAGTACTCTCGAGTACCCTCTAGATTTTACCGCTAATTAAGTGTTCTCCGTCGTTTCACCTTCTCTTCCTTCCTTCCGTTGTATCGATCGGTTGCTTCAACTCTTCCGTCTTCTCCTTCTCACGGTGTCCCTTTACGACGCGATACTTTGCTACCCGGAAGTTTCGCGACGTTTTCCATTTGTCCATACGTCTCTCGCCGCCCTTTCGCGTGGAAAATTCGTCGCGTGGCGCGGCGCAGCCCTCGCGGGATACTCTTACGATCCAGGATTTATAAGGGGCGAGTGGAAGGGAGCGTTGGCCTGTTCGCAGGGCGCAACGAGAGCAACGAACAGGGAAGACGGGGATCGAGGTTGAAAGTTGTTACCAGACTGGCTCGAAGGATCGGTAAACCATACGGTGGCAGGGTTATCCGTACCCCTGGAGGCTCGGCTAATGCCCGACTAATTGCCGGAATGTAAATAAATATTCCCTGAACGGTCGTGATCCAACCACCTCCGGGGAGTACGTCTATGAGAATATACTACGTTTGGACATGCATCGCTACTTCACTGGCTGGATCGCGGTCGCGTACGTCCCTCGCCACTCGACCCTGGCTTTTACCGCTTCCACTCTCTTCGCTCTTCCCGCTTTTCCCGCATCTAACGACTTTCGAATAAAAATTCATTCTCGGTGAAATAATCCCGTCATCCGTTTCCATCTCTAACGAGACGGTAGCGCGCGAGTAATGGACTCTTCGTGTTTCTCATTTTGTTTTAGTAACAGGAATTTTATGTCCCTGTGATTAGAATTATGTCGCGAGCTACTAAACGTCAAAGGAAAACGTAGCGTGGATACAGGGTTCAGAAATACTGATTATCCTGTAATTTATAGCTAACACAATTGGCGGGAAAAAGAGTACCGCGATAATGTATCCCCTAGCGTATTATACTCTCCTGTTACGAGAAGGCACCATCGGAGCCCGCGAATTCGCACACGATTCCTCCCACCACTCTAAATTATCTGTCTTCGCTTTCCTTGTCTTCCACCTTCTTTCGTTATACTCTTCTACTATCCGCCGAGTACCGAGAACAGGAGGTCATAATTAAAGTTAATGACACCCGGTATGCGACTTCCTCGAATATTTTACTATTCTGCTACCGAGTAAGCAATTTCAGTAAATGTTATCCTAAACATCGACCTATAGAAAAATGGAGGTCCTCCGTACGACGAAGAGCGGTAAGAATGATAAAATAGTAATCTAATTTCTTCAATTATTGTGTAGAATTGAAATCAATTGACCCAGTTAACCATCGGGGACTAATTACTGCAGCAAGTGCTGGTTAATTATTCAACGACGGAAATGAATTGTGAAGAATATCCGCATTCTACTGACACCCGGTGATTCCTCGTTTCTTATAACTGCCTTCCAGAGACCAAATGCAAGGAATTATTTAGCGCTTAATAAGACATTCTAAATTCATATCTCGATTTGTTTTTGTTACAATTTCTAACACTAATTCCTTCCTAATTTAATTGGCAACTTGCGTGCCGGATCGCACGGGGAAATTGACGTTTCTCGCGATCTCTGTAATATTGTCGAACGAATCTTTCGCGTGGTTCTTCGCGTTTCGATCTCGTTTCCTCGAGGCATAGACGAGGGAAGATTCGCGCGGTTTGGCCGTGCCAGAGGAGGTTGCAACCAGCCTGCGGCGAACCCGATGGAATAGAAGATGGGAAGCACGATGTCAGCCAATGCAAATTTCGTCTTTTATTGCTATGCCGCCGCAGGCCGGACGGATATTCTTCGCGAATTCGCCAAACCGAAGGTCCTCCTCGTTCTTACGAGAGTTTCGAAAGTTTGAAAATTCGAACGCGACCGAGGATCCCGCTTCTGATTTCGTTCAATTAATTTCGAACCGGAAGAAAACATTCTCGATTCGAGTACGGCCGAAGGGGAGGGACAGACTGGTTGATCCGTCGAGGGGATTCGAATCGGAATATTCCAACTACAGGATTATTCGGCCGTGACTTTTCTGTCGATACGAGCATGCACTCGACTCGCAAGCTTCCACGGATTACGCGCGAAATTGCTATCCAAATCCTGTTTTTAATACCCTCCAACCGTCGACGTCCCTGTCGATTACTTTCAATGGGACCGTCGATTGCTCTTTAAATCGTAAAATATGAAAACTGTCGAAGCGCATTGAACACGCGCGTTTTCTATGTGTGGCAGGTTCGCGTTTCAGGCCCCTCGCCTTCGCGAAACACGCGCTAATTTGCTTGCGTACGGTAAATCCCCAGCCGAATGTCCCATGGATATATATATAAAGAGAGAGAGAATTAAAGAAACTTTTTAGGTAACGTAGATATCTTGAAAGTCGAGGGTCGGGGAAATAGAGAGAGCAGAGAGAAGAGAAGAGAATCGCGAATCGAAAGAACCGTGACACCGAGGACGGGGCTGTGTCCTTTGTGAACTCGGCCCGGTGCATCCAGTCGACGAGTAGATTGCGCGACTGTCAATAGCAGAATAATTGAAAGACGCGCTCTTAATTAGTATCCGGCCGGGAGTCTTGCGCTCGACTGCCACCGTTCTGGCTTATTTCAACCGTGGAACAGAAACGGGGAGTAAGAGAGAACGAAAGAGGACTCGCAAATCCGGAGAGAACGGTTACGCTGCGCGAGCGCTTTTTCGCGGAAAAGATACAAAGGTAGAGAAAAAAAAAAAAAAAAAGAAAAAAAGAAAAGAAGAGTCGGAGGGGAAAAGCAGCGAGAATCGAGCGGAAAAACGGAAGGAAGAAGAAGAGGGTTGAAACTGCTCGTATTTCGCAGTTGCCGCGAGTTACGCGCGACGAGAACGTGCCGAGAATTCGAGACGTTTCACTTCGCGGTTACCCTAGTCCAACTTTCTCCTCTCTTTGGTTGCCTTTATCAGTCATTTCCACGCTCTGTCAACTTTCATCTTAATCGCGTCAATGAAATTTCTCAGAAGAGTCTTAGACAGTGTTCTCGATGGATTTTGAACGTCGAAGTGTCGTTTGATCCGGGCTAGAAGGAGTCATAAATAGGGCAAATGGAGAGAGAAGCCGAGAATAAGGGACATCCATTGTAACGCGTTCGCGCACTCGATGTACGGCGCGAACGGGTAAATCGAGCCCGTAAACTGACTGGTCGATTACGGGAGCGCGTGGAGCAAAAACGTGTACGTGCTTTCGTTCTCGACGCGACGTTAACGATATCTCGTTAACGTCTAGTACGCGACCGAACCATTTTCTCGCAGGGATAAGCATTTTCATGGCGGTCGAACCGTGTTCCTTCCGCTTTCGAAACTGCCTTTTCCCTTTATTGCTTTTCCCTCGCTTCCCTTTTCCTTTCTGCTTCCTCTAACGATCCTCGACGACTGCTTTACCCTTTCCGATTTCTTTTAAAAACGCCCCGTTCGAGGAAACGAAACGCGTGCGTAGCACCAAATAAATGTACACCCAATAACGCCTTAATTGCTCTGTTCGTTTCTAATTTTCTGTTCTTAGAAGTCGTTATAGACAGGTAATAGTAGTTTAGAGGTTCGACAGATATCAATATCCCGTCACCGTTTCTAATTCGATCGAGCGGACGATGGCAAATTGTCCCCAGTAGAGTCGATTAACTAGTCGGAGAGGAAAAAAAAAAAGGAAACAGAGCGTAATTAAGGTTACGTCATTGGTTCGACTGTGGTAAGTGGGTCATCGGATAATCGATGTTTTCGACCCATCTCGCAAGGACGACTAATTTTCAACCTTTCGTAGGTGCACGTAAAGGCACGGAGGTTCGTGTCGGAAGCCGTAATTCAAGGTGCCTAGTTTCGCGCGTCTCGCGTTTTCGGCTAATTCGAGGTCGACGTTTGCGTCACTCACCCTTTCGCAGGTGTATCGTATTGCGTGCATCGAGATTTTCAAACTTTTCGACCAGCTCCGGCATTCAACGAAAAGGATTCGACGATTATTTACTCGCGACCTTGCTGTCGTCGTTTCTCGTATCGATCGATTCCGGAATCCTCCGCTCCTGCGTTTTCAAAAGGTCCCTTTAATCCGTAGATTCGATAGATTAGGCGAGTTCGCGGCACTAAGAAGACGATGTCGCTCGTAAATTTGCCGAGTCCCGAGATTCGCTAGATTTCTCTTGGATTCGCAAGCGGCGAGAGGGTGAGTTCTTTCCAAACACGGTTTACCAGGAATTTTTAAGGGAAAAAATTGGATGGACGTTAAGAGGATCGAAGCGATAGCTGTCGGACCGTGGGGAATCCTTTGCCCCGGCACGCCAACGTTTTTCTTCCTTTTTTTTTTTCAAAAATCCAACATCCCGCATTCGTCGGACACGGGGCGGAGGATCGAACGCGAACGATCCGAGATTCCTAGAGAATCAAACGAAATTAGAATCCAAGTCCGAGCGAAGAAACCCGGGACGAGAATCGTCCGAGTATTTTTATTTTATTTAAGAAGCTTTCAATTCACCACCGAGCACTATTCCTTGGAACGCGAATTCGAATGAAATCAGCCGTAATTGCGGCCCCTTTAAAACTTCCACGGACAGCAATTAAGGCGGCACGAATTAATTAATGTTTTTTATCTCGGTTCGTGCTTACCCCCTTTGCTGTCCGCCACCTGGCTACTCTTTCAGCGGTCTCGCGATCTTATTGCTGCCCCCCCTCGTTCAATCCAGTTCGTCCGCAACAACTTTTAACGTAATTTCGATCGATCGAAAGTACCGCGACGCGACGCGACACGCTTACCGAGTTACCGTGAAACATTTTCATCGCGGACCTTTTGTGTCCCTCGGACCCTCGTTTACTCGTTTCGACCTCAAAGCGCGGAGGGACGAGTTTCACCCTGTCCGGTGACTCTTGAAACGACCGCGAACGAAAAAGAGCACCCAACCATCTCGCTCCTTTTCCACCGAACAATCCAGTTTTCTCGAACGTTTGGTCAAACAACACGGACAAACGCGGACAGCGAAGAGATGGAATCCTCGACTAGGAGAACTCAAAGGGAAGCGTACATTCGGTCGATCGCTTTATACGACTCCACTCTTTCCTTGCTCCACTCGATTTCCTCGATTCACTGTAAACCTTCGAGGAAACACGTGGTCGCTCGCCACTTCAACGCGACTTTTATCATACCCGTAAAGTCCTCGAGTTGAAGGTTTTTTTTCAAAAAAAAAAAAAAAAAAAAAAATTTAAATTACCCCTATTACAGTGACGTAAATGTAGTATGTCGAGGTTTCAGTTTGCGCGTCAAGTTGACTAAATCGATCGAGAAGCAGGTTGCAACCAGATGGACCTTGAGATTGCGGCTTATTTTATGCCAAGGCTGCCCAGCACGCTCCTGCAGGGACATTGCGCGAAGTCACGAATGCCGTAATTGAAAATCAATATTTCCGCTGGCTTTGCGCCGTGCACGGAATACAGTTCGCGAATACTTGTTTCGCCCGATCGAAATCTTTCGAGCGTGCCGACCGACGCGGTTATACCAACTTCCCGCCTCGACGACGCGGCTTTCCTCCTCGTCGCATTCGCCGTGAGTTCGCCGAATACGGAATAAAGTTGCAAGGGAAAATAATTATTCGGCGCGGTACGTTTCATTTCCGCGTTGGCAATTAAAAAGGTAGCGAGGGTGATAACCCGTTCGTCTTTACATAGTAACGCGCGACCGTTTCATTTCGGGGCAAAGACGTAATCCTTCGGGAGTGAGGAAGTTTCGTTAACGGAGAAATTGCATCGCCGAGCGTGTTTGCCGGTTGGATTTGTAGCGCGTTCGCGTTTGAAAAACGCTTCCGCTCAGGCGTGGCGCACCGAAAAGTGTAGTAGGTAGTTTGCCGAGTCTCAGCGAGTAGACGAGTAGGTTGTGTAGACGAGGCGAGAGAGAAAGGGTGCAATTAAGCTCGCGTTCTCGGTTTATTTGCCCGAGCCGGGTCGCAGGGGATACGCGTCTCGAGGCGGGAAAAGCGACTGCCAGTGGGACGAGAGTGCGTGAATAGGGTCGACGAGCGAGCGCGAGTCGACTCGTTGAAAGACTTGGACGATCGCTACTAACCGTGCATTTTCTCCCTGTTCCGACACTCGCTTCACTTTCTTCCATTTCCAATCGTATTCCTTAATTTCATCCTCTACAAATAATTTCCCCTCTCAGTCGTCAGGGATACCACCTGCACAGTTCAAAGGAAAAGGATTTTAGATCGGTAAACGGAGGCGATGGTGGCCTGGAAAAGTCAGAATTGTAAGGATAAATGAAAAAGAAAAAGAAAAAGTAAACACCTCAAGATCGTTGAAACATCATTGAAAGGGTAATGTGCATATCAGATCAGGAGGGAAAGACGAAGCTCAAATAGAATCGGTGCTCGTATTCTCTGTCAGGCTTTGTTCGAGGCTCGTCAAGAATAGACTCTCTGTTGTAACAGCGCTTTCGTGTACCCATCGCTTTCGCCGGGAAAAGTCTTACCCTTGCACTCGCACGTATTCGCAATTTATTTGATTCGCCGGGCAAAGTTAATGGTTTTCGAACAATTGCAGGCTCGAAATTGGGTTGCTTCTGTCTGTGATCAATCCTTTCTTTGCAGAGCTCTACCAGTCAGCCGAGTAACAATCATCCTTTTTACTTTCTGTAAATTCAAGATAACGCGTGCCTGAAGTGGATAAATACGATTGTACGAACGTTTTATGCTGAAATATCGTACTTATATTTCGAGCAGATACACAGAGCGTATAATCTTCGAACGAGTAAACGAGTAATTGGAGGGTATGTGTACTCGTTCGAGGGTTCATTGAAACGATTGGTCGTACAAGTATTCGTCGATAAATCTGTTGCAATTGTTATTTACAATCGCTACTCGACACGGTCAAGAGGGAATTGCCAGCCGATTATTAATTCAAACATTTTAATATTTGATCGTTGGTGGGTAGAAGGGAGCGAGCTAAACGAGATCCTAGAAATTTTTAAATATATTATACATAATCGTTAAAAGGAAAATTAAATGTATGACGAGATTAAAACGAAACGCGACTCGTGTATACCTATACATATGTATCTGCCCTAGAAACGAAAATATTTCACAAAGAGGTCGAAACGTGGAACCTGAAATAGCCTAGAGAAATTATGAATGAATTTTTTAGTAAGCAAACCTCCAGCTTTTGCAGAATTTCACAGATGATACATATTACGCTTCGGGATACCGGTGAATTTGATGAAAACATCAAACAATCGTAGAAACTAGCTGAATCGAGTTAACCGGCGATGAGAAACTGTTGTAAAACTGCATATGCGAATAAAGCTTGAAGGAACAAGGGTGAGAGGCTGGGCTGCTTTAACCGGGCTGATTTACGAGCAGGCATTTAGGCTCACCTTAGACGTAATTACGGCTGGTCTTCCTCGTTTCACCCTCCTGTCGGGTCGTAACATTTTATTTACCATATTCTTTATGTACATCGAGTAGACTTATTTAGTTAGACTACCGAATACCTAATACTTGGCTCGTTACTAAATTGATTCATTTATTTTCACTTATAAATCGATAATACATTTTTAATTAATGTAATTTAATTACATTTTGCTGGACTAGTATTTCCCTGAAATACGCCTTAGCGTCGCGTGTATTCTTCGTAAGGGGGGTGGGTTCAATCGACTGCTACCCCTGTGACAGAAAAACAAATTGTTAGTACAGACGTACAAATAATGAAAAGTTGTAACAGAGATTTTACTTTGCAAGATCTTCTGGGCACTTTTATTCTATTAAAAGTGGCATTGGTAAATAATGAATCCTTAAAATTTTTAGTAATTAGTATTATGGCTGTAAGGGAGTAAACATGGCTGCTTCTATTATTTCAACCCCCGCAGTGTGAATTTACAGGGATGAAATATAAATGAATCACAGTTTAATTTCCAAGGAACAGAAAACATTGATGAGAGAAGTAAAAAACGAGTAAAGGTTAGCAGCGACGCAGTTACTTACTGTTGGTCTTCAAATTTTAAACACTTCTAACTGGAGGACGATTCGAAGGAGTCTGTGTGCCCTGTGAACACGCCGCGTGAAGCTGCGAAGGAAAGTTTTCTCTACTGTAATTACAGAGCGTCGCTTTCGTAACGGTGTCTCGAAACGGCGTGCGATAATTGCGCTGGTTAACAGCATTCGATGATCAGACCGGTACCACCTACCTAAGAAAGGGTTGGTCGAACGAGTTCGATCGATTCGTTCGGTTTCACGCGATGATATTTCGAGTCATCGATCAACGATCGCGCACGAATGATCGGAGAAGAAATCGTTGCGAGCGACGTCGAAGGAAGAGTAATTGAGATTTACGCGAATCGAAAGAGGAAGACAGGGCACGGATGCGACGAAGGAGAAGAAGAAATCTTCTTCTCCCTCGAAGAAGTTAATTAAAGAAGCGGCGACCCGGGACCATGAGCGGAATATCGATCAACTAGAAATTCAATTTGAAATTTTCAATTCAATTTCGATCGAAACGAAGGATTTATGACGGCGAGTCGGTTTCACGAGGGGGTAGCTGTGCACGATTATAATAATTTTAATAAAGTTCCTCGGTCATCCGAAAAGGAAGGGGCATCAATCATTCAGAAAGCAGTCAAGAATCCCGAGATTTCGTAGCTCCCGTTACGTTCCGGTCACGGGGATAAATTTAAAGGCACTCTATTTCGCGATCGCTGGCTCGAATGGAACAAAACAAATTATTGATTAGAATCGGAGTATTTCCGTCGCGGCTTGTCTACTCTTGGACGAGATAATGGAATAGAGCAAACATCCGACGTGGTTGATAATTGTCGCGAATCGCGAAGATGGCCCCGATGTTCCCCGGTTTCACCCGTGGTTTTCAGCATCGCGACGTTTCTGGCCAAGCAAGGAGGCGGATGGAAACGGGGAGGCGAAGGTAAAAGGGCAAAGGGAGTCAAAGGTAAAGGCAAAGGCAACGGGCAAAGGCAAAAGCAAAGCACGCGTCGATACATATTCAAAGGACGAACGGCGAGTCGGCGTGGCGCGGCGCGGCGCGGCGCGGCGCGGGCCGTCTGGTCTGGTACGGGCCATTAGCATCGATCGTCTTCCGGGAGAGTCGGTCCGCGTCGACCGAACGTTTATCCTCTCGAGAATTTCCCTCGGTATCGAGTTAAGGGGCGCTCCTTCGACGAAGCCCGGTCCGTATTGTCCCGTGGCACGAACGACCATTAATTCTTTCTCGACCGCTGTAACACGGCCATCCTCCACGTCCGACCGACCTACCGACCGTGCGAGCGACCGACGAAACTCGATCGAGCCATCGGAACCGAGATCTTCTAATCGCGCCCGTCCGTTTTCTAGGTAAATGGGAACGGATAATGGGTCTGGTTTGTACGTGAAACGAGCTACGTTCGCCGGGCAATCGATGGAAAGCCGTTCTATAATGAAATACGATTTATTTAACTAAATATGCGAAATATATGTATCGGTGTATATATTATATACATTAGGCCATACACACAAGTACGCGATGTTTTATCCGTTAGTTTAGTCGGAACATATTTTCTTTTTTCTTTTTTCCTTGTCGACGATTAGGTGGCAGGCCGTAACGTTCGCATGAAACATCGCAAACGTCCGTCGAGGTGGCGATCGTTGCCTAACGATAACTTCTACGGAAAGCACGATAAATCTTGTTCGCTTGGACGCGATCGAGTCGTTTCTAATCGGTAAAGGTTGGTAGATACAGGGGAGTGGGCGGGTGCTTAGATCGCAGGCTATGTACAAAGTATAACACAGAGACCGAGTAGGTCGAACGACGACGAGACATAACGGCGGAACGGCGGAACGGCACAACGGGACGAAGGAAGGACGAGGAGTTTTGGCGAATTCGGTCGCGCGAACGAGCCGCGTCGTTCCCGAGAGGTATGTACAACGAACGACAGGGGACTAGAATGGAAGCTTTCGAAGCCTTAGCGGTAGAGAACGAGTATACTCGTAACACGTAGACATCCTCGATGGCGTGCTCTACGCGGGTGCGCGAGTAATGCGAGAGAAACACGGGGTGCTGGTGGATGATCGTCGAGAGTGGGCGGCTCGTTGATCGCGCGGCAACCGATCCGGATATATTGTATATATCGCGTTCGAATCGTGTCGCGAAAGAATCGTTCGATTTTCTACGCTCACGGCAAACATTTGCGCTGTTGAGCGCGCGTCCACGTCGAATCGTACAAATTAATCGGCTTACAGGCTCGTAAATCGTATTTTCGAGTCGCGTGCCGTAAAACGAGACGATAATCCGCGAACGCGCCCTACCGTTTCCGCGTCCAGCGAATTCGCGGGTCAGACTGGAGCAGAGCGGTGTTCATCGATCACGGCTGAAGCGCGATTATTCGCGTTAGTTTTTTTCAGCTTTGCTGATCAGCGAAACGCGGCACCCACTAGCCGGTCAACGGCTCGAAATCCTCTCGCAATTAGCGATTCAAGTTCGCGCCGCTTTGCCCTTTCCATCGATTTCCTCGTCCCAGCCGAGAACGATCGATTGGCTTAGCCAAGAATCTTCTTCTTCTTCTTCTTCTTCTTCGCGTTCCTCTTCTTCGTCCGCTTCGTTCTTTCCTCTTCCGTTTGTCCAGCGAACGTAAGCCGATTTATACGCGGCAAATCGGTACCTCTAAGCCAGCGACGCTAGCCGCAGGATCAACGCGGTCGCCAACGTCAAGTAGACCGAAGGCGTCGCGACGCTCGCCTGTCCCTCAACTGAAACACAGATCGAGGAAAATCGTGGTTCGTCGTCGATCGATCGGCCTTAGTCGCTTTCGAATCGTCGAGACGAAGGGGAAAACGAAAACAGGAGAGTCGCAGAAAGAGAGAGAAAGAGAGAGAGAGCCGATCGGCGACGTCTATCCGCGAGAAGCCGCTTGAAATTTCGCGACAATTTCAACTTTTAAGCCGACGAGGCCGAAACTTTGCTCTTCGCTGCTCGGTACGACGACGTCTGTGTCTGTCCTCGATCCCTCCTCTCGCCAGACTCGGCCACGATGGAAAAGTTTCGGCCTACGGGAATTCAGTCTCTTCCGGATGCGATCCAAAGGGATGCGATGAAACGGGGACGTATACGTCGCGACGCTTTTAACAACGACGCGGGCTAACGAGAAAATCGAAGATCGTTAAGAGCAATTTCGTCGTCAAGCTGTCCGTCCCTCTCTCCCTCTTTGTGCTCGTCAACTTCTCCGTACCAGGGTTTTCGGACGATTTCGGCCCGGTCTTTGCACTTTGCCCTTTGCCCTTCACGCTCCCCTCGCCATCGATTCTCCAGAGGAATCGCACGAGCGGCGACACTGGTAGAAATCGCATAAGCAACCGAGTAGACGAGGCGATCGAACTGTTTGCGAGGCGAGCGGCGAACGAGCGTAAATTATTGTTTTAATTTCGGCGTTTCGCAGCTCGAAGAAAGCTGCGGTCGACTTTGCGGCCGACCTCCTCCGTTCTTCCACGGACAACGCCGATCGTAAAGCATCCTTAATTCGTTCGAGCTCGGTAGCGATGCTTAATTTCCTTTCTGCAAAACCGACTCCTACGCGTACCCGCGATCTTTCTTCTCGCTCGCTCGTTCGGCCGCCACTTTCGCTCGGAAATAACGAGGTAATCGTTTCTCGCGCCGTCAGACTCGCGTTAATTAACGCGTCCGTCGTTTTAACGCTTCTCACCCCTGCCTCGTTTCTCTTCTTCTTTCTCGACGAAGCGACCACGAGGCGTGAACGGCAGTTGGGAAAATAGAGCGGAGGATAGGAGGAGAAAAAAGAAAATTTTAAGGCGAAAGGAAAGGTGGTTAAAGGCTTACCGAAAACTTCCGTGGTGCGCGTCTCGATGAGCGGCGCGTCCGAGTTTGAATCCAATTCGACGGTCGCCTCGCATCTTCGACAAAATTTACAGAGACGCATTAATCGTCGGGCTGGAGAGATGAGGCGATGGTGGTGAGATGGTGATGGTGATGGTAGAATGACGGTGGTGTTGGGGAGGAGATTGTCCAGAGCGAAATTACCTTACGTTTATTTTGTCGCCGGTGATGTGATTCGGTTCCAAGTCGAGTCGTAAACTGGATATCACCGAGTAGAGTCCGTGATGGTCGAACACCATTTTCGTGTCGGGCTTCACCTGAAACGAACAAGCGACGGAACGTGTTCTCCGCCAGTTCTATCGAGATCGTAACTATCAGAGATCCTGGTTATTCCCGAGCCGAGTATGCGGCAGATACGCGCTAAAACGACCAGGAATATTTTCCCTGTCCCTTGGTTACCGGGCAAAAGAAGTCGCGATAGCCGGCAGGACGATTTAACGCAACGGATAAACTAACGGAAGCCGAATGGTTCGCCGGGGGCTAACCGAGCGTACAAGGTCTTCTTTTCCGTGGCCGGTACTACTTTTGCCGAGAAAATTTGCTGCTCGAACGGTCTGGTACGCGAGCCAGACACTCGGAGATAAACGAGTCTCGAAAATTAAATCATTTTTAAGCCGAGCTATCCCCGACTCGCCTACAATCGCCCTCCCTTTTCTCCTGCAACCTCTTCCCGTCTCTCGCGATTCCTTTGAGGCGCGGTTCCGTCGCATTTTTCTGCTTCGTCGCCCGGCTCCCATCCCTTTCAACTCCACCCTCCCGCTATCATACCTCTCTCAAAGCAAAGTACGTCCCGTTTCGTAGCTGGCGCCCACCGGTCCATCGTCGAGCATTTTTTCAACGACCCGGTGCTCCGATCTCCCGCGCTTTTCGGAACGTATCGATTCCGACGGGGTTCCGGGAGCAACAGAGGAAGGGACGACGAGAAGCTAGTCGTCGAGGGGCTTCGTTCGATCGCGCGACGGCGTGTAATTGAAAGAAAGTCGAAGATTAAGTGCAGCCGGAGGTGGAACGCGAACGATCGTTGATCGAACCCGGGCACACGCTACCCTCTTCGACAGTTTCCGCAGCCGTAGCTTCGCGACGGAATGTTGGACGCGGGTTACACGTAGCCGTCGGCTTTGTCGCTGGCTCGAATCTTTCGTAACTGTCGACGGGAACGTTTTCGAAACAATATTACTCGCGTTAAGTGCCGCGCTAAACTCGCTCAACTCCTAATGGACATCGTCGAAGAACGCCGGCAAGTTTTGCTCGCGAAGAAACAAGGAGAACGGCTAGGAGAAAAGTTTTCCAGCCGCCGTGCTCGACTCGCTTAGCGAAACCCTAAAGGAACATCGACGTTCATCGACTTAATCTTCGAGCTCGGTACATACACGTGCTCTCCTCCTGTCTACGCGATTCCCTCTCAACTGCCTCCACTTTGCGGATTATATTTAAACGCCTCCGCGAGCGATCTAATACGAGTTAGAGATTCGATACAACGACGGGGTCAACTAATTAGCAATTAACCTATTCACCTTGCGTCGGCGGTGTTTCTTTTCGTATCAAAATTTTCGGATGTCCGAGGTTAACGAGAAGAGTGAGATCTCGCGTTACTTGCTGCGGTGGTTCGCACCGCATCGGTGTTGGTAACGAACGTTGCATTCCACCACCGCTTTCGGTGGAGCTCGTTAATTGAAGCTTTGGCTCATCAAGCGTCGTGTCGTCGCCGTCGTCGTCGTCGTCTCGGTATCGCTACTCCTGCCAGTGTAACCTCTACTTTCCTCTTTCCTCTCGCTCTCACTATCTCTCGTTTAACGAACCTCGCTTTTCTATGCATCGGCTCCATATTCTAATCGCATCTTTACATCGACGTGCCGACCTGCTTCTCGGCGATAAAAACGAAATTGCTCGACTGTTTCGCTGGAGAATTTCACCTACCTGCGCTCCATTGATGAACCACTTGAGATTCGCTGCCGGGCGAGACTTGCCGCTGGTGCAGTTCAGGCTGAGTACGTCGCCGCTGGCGTAAACCTTCTCCTCGCCGGTTATCGTCGGTCCTTCTTGCGGCAAAACTGCAACCAGTCGAAGAAATTTTACGGGGGATCGCTTGTTTCAGAGACTCGGCCAATTGGCGAATAAACGGTTCCTTTTGTAACGCGATTCACGGTTAACAACGTGGAACGCTAGAGGTCCGCTCGTTAACGATAAACTCTCCGAAAGAGTGCTCGAAACGTTTCCTTCGAGCCTCTTTCATCCTCGTTTCGTTTGCGAATTCAAATGGTGGACGAGCGAACGCGGTTTCTATTTCGCGACGAACGCGTAACAACCGTCGTCGATCGAATCGCGCCTGCTTATCCGAAACATCTCCGCGAGATTTTCCACGTTCCCGGTTCGAGATTTAATCTAGCCCCGTTCGAGGAAACGGTCGCCCGCCTCGGATCGTTTTCGAGAGCAGAAACGCGATAAAAGTTCATCCCCTTCGATAAGTCTGCGAAGCTGTCGCGACACCTCGCTCGGAATATTCAACGAAGCCATTCGCGACTGCGATCGGACTGATCCTTTCGAGGTATACGATCAACCTTTCGCTCAAAGATACACGGCTCGGATTACAAAGGGATATCGAGCCCTTTTTCTCCTCCTCCTCCTCCTCCATCTTCTTCTTCCCTTTTCCTTCTACTCGTTATCCAACAACACAGGCCGACGGCTTAAGGATCAACTAGTTAAAAAACGCGCGTACCACGACGAAGCAGAGACGAGGGAAACACTCGAGGAACGTCAAAGAAGAGAGGGGAAGAAACAGGCGAGAGAGTCGAGATTACGAACAGATTGGTTGCCAAAAGGAAAGCAGGGAAAGCAGCGAGAGATAGGAGGCACGGTGTTGTTTGAAAAATGAAACGGAAAAAGAGAGCAAGTATAGAAAGGGGGGTATGGTGGAGGCACGAGCGATGCCCGTGGGTTATTTGCCGGGCACCAAATTTTCCACGAGCTCGGTAAAGGTACGGTAATGGCGGGTACGTGGCGGGTTATCGATCGTGCATGGCTTGGGAAGCGCGGCTGGACTACCGGCGAAGGAACGACGAGGAAAGGAAACTTGAGCGTTTCGAAGACGCGACCATCTTCGACCATCTTCGACGCGACAAACTAAGGAGAGTTTTTAGTTCGTTTCGCGAGTCGAGCCGATGTTCTTACGATCAGGAAAGAGCTTCTTTTCTTCCCGTTTCCCTCTGCTTCGGCTTCTTTTCCTTCGCCTTCCGCAACGACGACGACGGCCCCGAGACTTACGACGCCGTAATATTTATCGAACTTCGACTCGTCTTTACGCGATCCTAAAATTTAACGCTTGCTCCCGCTGCGTCGAACCTTTTTCATTGCCGTTAAGTCTACCGTCGCGCTGGCTTCGAAACAGAGACACGATTTCCAACCGAAACCCACTTGTTCCAGTCTCGCGATTCGGTCGAAACGAAGCGACAAACAGCGAATCCCGTTCGTATGACTTCACTCGATTCTCGACGAAAGAATAATCGAGTTTACGATCCGATCGATCCCGTGGCCAGCCGTTTCTAGCCGGCGAAAACAGCAATTTCGCCCGGACGCAGTCTGTGTCGGGCGAGTAATTTCGGGAAATATTTGGCCCGACTCGTTCCTTCGCTCGATTCGCAACGAGTACGGCGAAACTGGCGAAATGACGAAAGCTTTGCTCGAATTACGGCGATTCGCGATAGCCGCGATCAAAGGATTATTAATTAGCGTAGCGAGCCCGGGCTTCGAATGGGACGAGACTGGAATGGAATGGAATGGAATGGAATGGAATGGTTATGCCATGGAATGGGATAGGATGATACGGAAGGCGTAGGTATCGGTGAGTCGCTCACCTACGACTTCCATGCTGGCTTCGGCGCTGACCGAGTGGAAGCTCGGAGCCTCGGCGCTCACCTCGCACCTGTACTGTCCGCTGCTATGCAGGCTCACGTTCTGCAGCAAAACCTGCTGGTGATCGGACCGACCGTGCTGAAACAATATCGATGTCGTTCGACAAATTGAAAATACTAATTGTTCCCTTTGCTGCCCCTCGCGCGCCAGGAAACGCTTTATCTTTCAAAGGGAATCTCGTGATCGCGACAGCCGAGGGATCGATGCCACTTCTCTGCGTCGACAAGCCAACTGAAAAAAAAATGTAACGAAAAAATTGAACCCTTTGGCTTTTACTCCGATGCTCCACCAGCGGGACGTTCTTTGCCGCTGTCTGTCCGTAAAAGTTTACCGATACATAAATGGAACGAAACGAAAACTCGTTTGAACGGACGAACAAACAGTCGTGTTCCATTTGCCGCACGCGGTCGCTGCGAAAATTCCGCAATCGAGAGGACGACTTTTTGCCGAGCGTCGTCAAACCGACACCGTTTCCCGTACGCGCTTCGATCCAACGTTTTCCAGACGCCGCCGCACCGTTCGAAATTATTCTTCATAGACAGAATATTACGCTATCAGCTGGGTAAGAGGCTTACGCGCTTATATCGATTTATCGCCGTAGTTGCCGCCGTAGCGACGCGAACCTACCGAAAGTTATTTCCGCGAGATAGATGATAGCGGAGCGGACGGTTTCTGGTTGCAACCTGGCTAAAGTTGATCTTACGTTGTTCGAAGAAGCTAGGTAGACCAACGCGTTACTGCGGAAGATCGAACGCAGATTTTCCTCTCCAAGTGAGCAAAGAACGGTGGTGGATGGGGGGGCGGTCGAGAGAAGAACACGGAAAGAGAAGACCCGCAATAAATGGAATCGCGACTATGATAATCCATTTAGCCCACCGACGCCCTTGTGTTGCACGTTTTCCTGCGTTACTTCCCTTCCATTTCTATGGAGATAAAACAGAAACTCCGACAGACCTTCCTGCGGGGTTGGAGGAAATTTTTAGCGAACGCGCGGAAACGCTCACGTTCGCTGGTCGGTCGGACGCAAACTTTCTCGATCGACAAATCGATTTACGTTCGGCGAGAAAAGTTAGGGGAAAACACGGAATAGGAGAAGAACGCGTGGAGAAGTCGAAACGTTCGCGGGAATCGCATTACCCTCCGGGTTATTTCGTCCAGCGGACGGGACCGTTCGATCGACCGTACGATTTGGCTGGATCGCGTAACGACCCTGTACGAGAATCGAGAGCCAAGCCGGTGAGGTACGCGTGGCGTGGCATCGACGCGGCATCCCGATAAAACGTGACTCGTTTCGAGAGAGTTACAATCGCTTCGAATCTCCCTTTTTCTGCCAAGTGTCTAGCGTTCGATAAACTTTCGCGAAAAAATTCTTTGCCTGGCTAAAAGCGTTCGCTCCGAGACGAAAATTAACCCGAAACTCGGTCCGGTTTTCAACGGGGAAATTAATCAACAACGGATTACCTCGAACCATTTGGAAAGTTGAACACGATGAAAAGATCGCGCTGATGGTTATTTGGTATGCATCGTTAACGGAAAGAAGATGTCGGCTCGACGAACCGCTTAATCGCCTCTCGTTCGTGGTCGATTAGTTTGCCGCGAAACTCGAGGGTCAGCCGGTAATCGGGATTCTTTACATTCCCTCGTCGCTCGTTGGCCCGTTGAAAATACCGACGGAACATAGGCGGGTCGATTTAAAATTTTCAGATGGTGAAATTAAACGGGCCGCGTTACGTAAGGTAGCAAAAGGGTCGAACGAGAGGGAAAATTAAAAGTGGAGAGAAGCCGAGTAGAAATATACGGCTCTGCCCGCTAAATCCACTTAATTCCCTGCTACTCCAATAAGTGTCACAAGAGCGTATTCGAGAGAGCGAGACGGGGAGGGGGTGAAAAGACACGCTCGCTTTTGTCCACGGAGAAATTTCTTTGTCGATATCGGAGAGCCATTGGGCCGAGCCAGATTAATAGCCGCGTTATTTCTCTCTCTCTTTCAGCTCGATCTCGAGAATCGGAGACCGGTAGCCGGGGGTAAAGGGATGAACCGATTCGACTCACGTAATGCTCGTTACGCGTCGGCCGATATTAACGAGCGTCGAGGAAAACGGAACTTTCGTGCCTTTCCAAAACGTGAATCGGAAGCGGACGTACCGTATCGAGAATAGACGAGAGTCTCGCGATCCGTTTCGCCTTTCTCAGCCACCGGGAGACACACCGTTTCGCGATCTGAGAAATCGATCGGGTTCGACCAACTCGAACACTTCCTTCAACTCTTTTCTTCTCTTCTCTTCTCTTTTCGCTTCTATCCTCTTTATATACGACTTTACGCCGTACCGTTGGTTCCGTCTCGACAGACGGCAGCGATCTCCCCATCTCGATTCGTCAAACATTTATTCGACGCGATAAAGGCGACCTCGTTCCGCACGGGGGATGTACGGGGCTGTACAGGGACAACGCGTCTTCGTGTATAGTGTATACCGAAACGTATCGCCAACTTTATGCTTTCTCACCCACGCCACCCGTTCCTCCTTACCTTCCTTCCTGCCACGTCTCTTCCTTTCAACCGGCTCGATGAAATACTTTTATAGCGACGTCGAATAAAATTCGAACGTGAAATTGAATAGAAGAGGCTCTTACGTCTAAAGCAATGTCGCGCGCGTTGCCCGCGACCGAGCTCGCGACGGGCAACGTCGAAGATCGTTCGAGGAAACGTAGCTACGTAAGTAGCTCTACACACGTACGTATTCGTGTCCGTTTCCGTTTTACGCTTGGCTTCGCGGTCGACCGCATTACCGGACGTAAACGGGCAACCGCCACCTGGTTAGCTAGGACTTTACGTTTATTCCGACTCGAAACGATTCGATATTCCGACGTTCTCCCGGTTTATCGTCGCCCCGTTTACCTCCCCGGCGAACGCGTAAAGTCCGCTTTCCCTCCATCGCGGGCAGATTCGCGAGACATCGTGGAAACGCGCGACTAAACGGACACTTTTACGATCGCTCAGGCAATTACCGACGAACCGGCATCGCCGTTTCGGTTCTCTCGCAACAGCTCGTTACGACTTCCGTGGGTGTACGCTCGATCGTTTTTCTTCGCGTAAACGGCGATTACGATTTTCCATCTGTACCCGTGTCATCGAGCAATAACACCGAAATACCCGAGTAACTGTAACTCGTTTTATCAATCGCTCCGGTAAATGGAATTTCCATCGATATCCCACGGCTGAAATCTTTCGTTCCGCGAATGTTGGAAACGAAAAGATAATGGACGAGACGTCGCGACGGGGGCAGCTGTTATTCGCGCGTGGAACTCGGCGATGCAGAGATCAGATAGCAAAGTCGGAGCAAGACTGCGCGAGCTTGCGGGACACAAGAGGGTTTTCAACTCACGTCAACTTTAACGCCCTCGACGCGATAGCTGTGCTGCGGAGGTTCCCCTCTAGGCACGTATCTGTAGAATTCCTCGTGATCCTTGTACCACGAGATGGAGTAAAGCTTGTCCTCTTGTAGGTCGTATCTGAAACGAGAGAGCAAACGTTGCGTGGTTTATCGTTGAATAACACCCGGGAAAAACACGACGCGGAAAATACGCGCGCGGTGATAACGATGGTGGTGGTGGTGGTTCGCCGATCGTACGAAAGGGAGGACAAAAGAAGATGAAATACATAGGGTGTAGTAGGAAAAGCCGTGGATGGAGACGAACCGCGAATCGTTTCTCGATTAGTCGGAGGTGGACCGTTTCGATGGTTGGATTGCGCGCGAGTAATGGAAACCATTGCCTACTCCCTTCCGACAATGTATTTGAAATATCGAATGCTCGACGGATTCTTTGCTTTGCATATCGGAGATTTTTCCGTTTACCCGATATTCCACGAAATCGTTTCGTCTGCACCCGTCTCGTTTTGTTTCGTTTCGTTTCGTTTCGTTTCGTTTCGCCCGTTTGATCCTACGGCTCGAGGGACACGTCGGAAATACGAGCGATTCGGTTATAATCCAACGTCGTTTAGAAAAGGCGAGCGTACAGGTATCGTAACCTATCGATACGGGGTTCGTGGGGTGAGAATGGGAATAAAAAACGATCAAATTCTCGTGGAGGCTGAAAGGGGAGGGTGTATCGGTGGTATCCATGCGTTTGAACACGATCGCTAGGATATCCGGGACGGGTAGGAGCCGAAAGAACGGGAAGGAACGGGAGCCACCGGCTTCTGTCGCGTGACGCGATTCCAACCGGGGCGCAGAGGGGGAGCAACAATTAGGATAATTGATCAACATCCGCGATCGAAGAGTACCTCCGTAGAGTTGCATCAATTTGCTAATCGAGTTCTTTCCCTCAGTTCAATGATCCTCGAACGGGGAAACGGAAAAATCCCCGGAGGATGCTCGTTCGCGTTTCATCGCCGTAAGCCGGAAATCTTTCACTCCCGATAATTCCGCTGTTCCGTCGAACAAAACGTTCGCCGTTCAGGGAAAGGATTTCCCGAACAAAACCGGTGCATTCGATTTTCTCCTGGAATTTTAACGAAATCGGATCGGATTTCGGTCCTGTTAATCGTCCATTACCAACGCGACCATTACGAACGTTCGATCGAATCGTCGACAAAAACGTGGAGGGTGCGCAACAGGCTACTTCGTTTCGCGGAGCAGAACTAGATCGGATTTTACGGCTCGAATAATCCACGCGATAATTAATATTCTCAAAGTAATTAAACTCGCACGGCTACGTTCGTGTCGGGCAACGATGGTTAGTCTCGATGTTACGCTTTTCTCTCGATAAACTTTCAAAGTATCCATCGGAATGACCACGAAAATACGATAGGTCGGGCGATAAACTTCGATCGTTGGATAATTTAATGACACTTGTCGCGGAGTTGAACTGCTCTTTTACTAGCTACTAAACGTCCGCGAACGGTTAATGACATTATGGATTCGGTTTTTAACCGTGCACGAAGGGGAAATCTTTCAAGGGGAAACGATAACATTGTCTTCGAAATGGTCAGTGGTCGGATCGACGTACCCAGAGGAGGAAAGGTCGGTGGAGATTGGCTGAATGGAATGGCGAGGATACTAGCGGTGCCAGTGCTGTTGACGTCGTCGTCGTCGTCGTCGTCGTGGCTCCCTAGTTCCCAGCTGCAGCAACCGGAAAAGGGATTGCCGCATTCGAGCGTAGGTGCACAATTTGGAGGGTTGCGTCGTGGGATTGATTTGCATCCTCCGGCTCATTTGCCGGGTCGTGTCCTACGGGAGTTCCTATCTCACCCTCTCTCCCTCCCGCTCTTCACGCACGCACACACACACACAATCTTTTCTTTTCGCTTCGCTTTTTTCATTTTCTTCCCCCCATTGTGGTGACATTTCCAACTTTCTCTTTCACAGCCCCTTCCAATTTTCTCCTCCGTCGCTTCTTTGATAATACTTTTCCGTCGCAGACGTCAAACCGAGAATCTTTTGTTTCGCGCCGAGCCAGCACGGGTAGGCGTGTACCGAGTCGAAAGAGCATCTATCGCGTTTGATACAATTAGGTATCGCGTGCAGGATCTGCGAGTCGTTGGAGATAATACGCGAGATAGCTAAAGAGCGCTTTACATCTTATCCGCGTCTCATTGTTCCCGACGAAGAGACGTTCGGTCCGGTGACGTGAGAAACGCGTACTCCCTTTCTTGAACGCGTCGCGATTAATTCTTCCCTCGGTTCCCGCGCAAAGGCGTCTCGACGTTGAAAATTCCTCTTCACCGAACGATTCGACAAAGATCGAAGAAAGCTTTCCGTCGGGTTTCACGAGAGTTCGCTACGAGAGCACGGAAATAATAGGAATCTTCAAGGGATTTGTAACGAAGGAGACTCGAATGTTTCCTGGAAAAGTTATCAGCAGAATAGAGAAGTAGCGACGGTGCATCGGAAACAAACGCTGGCTCGAAGCAGCTCGTTTGGACTTTTGCTATCGACTCGACTCGACGACTCCGAAGATCCCCGTTGAACAGGAACGGGAACGAGGATGGTGAGTTATTCGCGCTCGAAAGAATCCGGTCGTGATCTCTGTCGCCGTGAAATTTCCCGGAATTTCCATGGTGAAATTAGAGAAGCGAGGAGGAAACTAGGAGGGTGGATGGTCGCAGGCCCGAATCAGGAAGGAACTTTATCGTTGGCCATGCTAGAGCAGCTGAACGTCGCGTCGCGTCGAGTGGAAGGAGACGAAACGAGACAGAATAGAGGATGGAAGGGTAGAGAAGATAGAGGAAGCAGGCCGACACGCCGGATAAACCAACGAGCAAGAGTTCGCCGAGGACGGTAAACTAATTTGCAATTTATACCTACGTCGGGGAACGATCTCGTCTCTTTGGTACGTCGGGCGTCGCGGCGCTGCCGTCCCGACGCTCGACTGGCACCTAATATCAAAGAACCCGACCGTGTACACGCTCGGTCAACTCTTTACTTCCTCTCCGACCGTCTATCTTCTCCTCCTCTGCCGAGAAACGAGCAACGTGCAACGAAAACGGTTCGTTGAACGAGATAATCGTGCATTTTTAAACCTTCTCCCATGTCGCTCCACTTTGGACCGAAAGGATATCTTCGATCGAACGATCTCAAGTGAGCGTCAAATCAAATTAATTCGTTAAAGTCTAGACTCGTTTAGATATATAAATCGCGTAAACTTTGAATTTACCAGCAAACCCAAAGTTTCGCGAAGCGACAACTCGAAATCGAATCTTCTTAATTATTCAACTAGTTTCGTCGCGTCTTGCGATCCTCACACGGTATCCTTCGCATCCCGTTTTTACGTCTGGCCAATTTTCTACGCGATCTCGGGAAGAAACGTGCGAGAGGGGTCCGCGAGATAAAAGAGACGCGTTATGTCGATCGTGTTTATTGGGATCGTCGAAACGTCATGGCATGTAAAGCGTGGAAAATCCGATTCTGATCGCAGTGTCGCGATACGATAAAAACCGAGGGCAAGAGACAAATCGTACAGACACACGCTTCGTATACCCTGCATTCGTCGAGTACTTTTTCTCCTCTCGTGTCAGTGAGCGCGATGCGCGCTCGAGCGTGACATTATGGCACGTATTGTATACTGTCAACTTTACACCGGGAAAAAGATAGCCCGAAGAACGGAGAAGAACAAACAAACTCGCAAAACGGGGCTCGATGCTCGGTTGCAAAAGCATCTTTGAATCAGACCGTTGAATAGCATCGCGAAGATAAGGAAAAGAGGGTATGAAACGCGAAAGGAGCGAAGCAACGAATGACCAAATCGAAGGTAGAAGAGAAGAAAAGGCGAGGAAAGTCGAGAGACGTTAAGGGAGCAACCGATCCCTGATCGAAGGGTACGAAACGTGGCGACCCGCGTCTTCCTCCGTATCGCGAAAAAGCGCACACTTCAATTTACTGGCGCTTCGCGTACTCTTCAGCATCCCGTTTACGACGTTACGTGAAAAGCATACTGCCGCTTTGAACGTACGATAGCAGGAAATGGAAGCAACGACGACAGTTTCCTTCGTTCACTCTTCTCGTTGCTCGAACCGAGAACGAACTTGCCATAATGTGCAAGTATTATTACTCTTACGATGCTGAACAAACCTTTTGCAAGGTGGGAATAAAGAAAAACTTGCAATTCAATATCCAGCAATATCCAGCGAGCTGCGTCAAGTTCTCGCTTCATCCTGAGTTATCGAGTTTCAAAGCGCGACAATCAATTTTAGACTACGTGCTGTACCTACTCGACAACCGATAACTTTGGGTCTTGATAAATTTTCAACGGGATGGCTACTTCATGTATCTCTGCGAAAGTTAAACGACGCGTCCGCGAATACGATTTCCTTGGAAAATCGGAATCGACCGGGATTTTACGCGGTCTGCAAACTTCTTTGTACGTTTCTTGCGGTACGAAGCACCCTCGAGAACAAGCGCGCACCGTTGGGTACCCAACGGTCGACCTTATTTTCATCGTGAAAAGTCGTTGAGCCAGCTCCACTAATTAGAATGCATATTCCGACTAACCGTAATTGTAGGACGCGCTATGTTACGCCATAATTTCATTACGTCTTAATTAACATGATGGTATGCGCGCGCGACTTAAGAATTAACGAAATACCATCGAGGACACGTTACCGCTGCTTCTGTCCTATCCTAAAAGTTTATCGCCAATTAAAAAGTGGTTCGCGATCAATTATCACGCGACGCGATATAAATTTCTATCGATTTCATTTCACCTACAATTTTCAAGACGAGACAAATTATTCTCTATCGTCCTTTGTGTATTCCGCGTAATTGTTTGTGACGTTAAAAGTTATCGATAGGACGATTGTAAATAATATCGCGCGAATGATAATGAAATTACGGTATTTTCATACGTTCCGCGAGCAACGTTGACACCGTGAATGCTTTATATAATTATCGTTTCGAGAAACGTGGAAAACGAGAATTCCATATTTCGTATAGACAGATCGAGATTCGTTAACAGAAAATTCGGTGAAACTCGTCGTTTCCTACCGGAAGAAAGTTTGATTCGACGTTAACTAGCCTCGCGCAATTACCGGCTAGACGACAGCTCGAACAGGAAGGAAGAACGGACTGTACTGTAGGAGACGCGTTTGCGTTTGCGACCAAGGGAAAATGACGACGATCCGGTGGCTAATTTCAGGACGAGATTCAAGTTGGCTGTAGGCAAGATTGTCCGAGGGTCGGAAGCGATCGAGAGTGATCGCGTCGCTTCGTCAAACATAAATACATCACCGGGAAAAGGAAATTAAGCCCGCGTAGGCTTATCGTATCGATTAGGCGAAGAGACAGCGAAGAGAAAAGGAATGGAAGACCGCGAACGAACAGGATCTCGCGAAATCCTAAGGTTCGGTGCTTCTCGAATGCCCTGAGAAACATCTTTTTCAGGCGAGAAGAAATCCAACAGAGATAAGAAGAAGCTTTCTCGCTCGGATTGCGGTCGGTACGATATTGCGAGTATAAATAAATAAAGCGCGTGGAGAGCGGAAAGATATCGAGGTTCCTAGCTCCAAGGGATTGTCGATCCATCCTCTTCTGCTCGTCTTATTTTTAATCTTATTTACCGTCCCGCTCGGACGCTAAGCGTAAACTCGATACGTTATTGGCTGGCATCTTATCGATGTCCTCACGAGTCCTCCTCGCTTCGTTTCTTTTCCGTAAATAACAGAGAAGAATCGTTCGATCCCGTCCGCCTCGTCGTGGTTTTCTCCCCTTGTACCGGAATCCGTTTTGTCATTCCGTCGGATTTATTCGCTGGACAACCGCGGATCGATTTATCTCGCGTGCATCACCCACGAACGTTCCACGAAAGCAAAGTAGCCAGCATGCAAACTCGTTGACAACGACTTCGTTGTTACTTGTTCCTTCCTAAGCCGGCTATCGATCGATTGGATCGGATCGATCGAGAAAAGGTAACTCGTACGCGAACCACGAGGAGGCAAGCGTCCCTTTGACGGTACCACTGGTCGACGATGCTACAACGTGTCCAAGTACACTTACCTGCACTCGAGCAGTGCGCTCTTGCCCCTAAGGGAGTACGGTGGAACGTTTATGCGAAGCAACTCCAGACCGGCGACTGTAACAGAAGAAAGAAACAAGATTTTTTAAAAAGTTTTCTAAACGCGTACGGGACATTTCGCTAAAACTGTTCGAACTCGTAACATTTCAACATCCCAAACTGGAATTACTCGAGTCTCGAAAAATAGAAAAGGTGCTAATGGATTCCGTCTATAAATTTTTCAAGATTAGCATCTATCTTGGCCAGTGACTGGTCACTTATATCGAGTCGGTGAAATGCCTTGACCTATCGAGAACAATGCATGGAAGCGTTGAAGAAACGGCACTCGAAACTCGGCTAGGTATTCAGGGCCGATATTTTGAGAATAAAATTTCACGGCGACCTTCGGTGTCGACTCGAGCGTCGAAGAAAAAGCTTGGAAAAGTTGTGGCTCGATAGAGTGACCAGAAGAGTGGGACACGAAGGGTGCGAGTGGATTGTACTAGATGCTCAAACAATGCTCGGCAAACTCTATTGTGCTGTCCTTTGTGACCGCTCTCTTTTCTTTCTCCTTCTTCTTTCTCCTGACCCTACTTTGTAAGTTCGAGCTAGTCACGAGAAACGCGATTAACCGATACCAGCACCGTGTCGCAGCTCGCTCCGATATTTTTCACCACCGTGACGGATTCGTTCATCGATTCGAGGATAAATAAAGAACTCGTCAAAGCATCAACCAAAGTGTCGGCTGTTTTAGCGGACGCGATCGTCCGCGTTCATCGTTGTCCGAGTCGAAAGCAACGCGTGGATCAAAGGAGATTGCGTTTAATTAAGCTGCCGTGATATTTTACGAGGGTGACGGTACACGGTGAGGCTATTCCGCCGAGGGTCAACCTTTCTCCGGATCGTAAAATATACTGTCTGTGATGCACGGTTATGCGAAGCCGTGCAAAGAGAACGAGAGAGACGGAGTTTGGTTGAATTATTCCCCGAGAGAAACGCAATTTTTCCTACGTTTTAACGTGATTTCGAGGTGGCCCTCGACACGGCGATCCTCCCACCCTCGGGGTATCGCGTTATTTTTTTCTTTTTATCCAGCTCGCGAGCTCTAACTACTACACGTCTACCGGCCGACTTTTCCTACTCGCTTTCGGACGTTTCGCGTACGTGGTCAGCTTGTAAGTTACTCTTCCAGAAAGAACCATTCCCCGCGGTTAATCTCTTCTACGACCGTGCCGCTTAATCCGCTACTCACGAACCAAGATACATTGTCCTCCTAATTACGCGAACCACGATCTTAATGGACTTGGAAATGCCGAGCGCGTCAGTTTCGCGTGCAAATTACGCAAACGTGAAAGGACTTTTTAATCGGAAGTCCTCTCTCTCTCTCTCTCTCTTTTTTTTGGATAAAAAAAAAAAAAAAAAACGAAACATTGTCGGTGTTTTTAATGCGAAGTACAGAATATGGTGGTAGCAAGGTTTATCGTTGCACGGGGATTCGACGCACGATTCTCGACCGCGTATACACCAATGGTACCATCGATCCTGTTCGTTTTGGGACGCGACCAGCACCGCGTATCGATTTACATCTCGTCGGTAGCATGCTCATAGAAGCTGCATTTCCACCAGACTCGACGAAGAAAGGCCGATTCAAAGCCGATTGTGTTCGTTCTACGATCTGTAGCGCGGTAAGCACCCAGGTTCAAGCATATCGAAGGGAAAACCAATATGGTATATCGGAAATTCACGACAGCTGGATTTTCGTCGGAACGCAACGAACGGAGTTGCTGGGAAAATTATCCTAAAAGGAGACCCGACAAACCGAAAGGAGAACGAGGACGTTTCGGTCAGGCGGGCAGCACTCGATTGCTCGCAAATTCGATATCCGCGCATTAACGAGCGTCAAATTAGTTATCGAACGAATCGCGCGAGTCATCGAGGCGAATCGATAACTGTGCGCGCGCTCTTCACCGAATCAACGATTCGAATCGATGCGACGCGCGACGTCTCGTTTTGACTTTAACGCCGGACTAGACCCGTGAAACATCGTGCCACGACAATAACCCTCGCTTCCACTAGTGTACGTTGCGGAATATCGTCCATTGAATTAGAGTGCCCGCGGCGGTTCGAGACAAGCGAGTTCGAATCTCGACTACTCAGCTTTTGGCCGAACGATCGTGACGCGAGTCACAAGTGCGCGCCGAGTTCGCGCCGAGTTCGCGCCGGCACCCTATCGGTCGTTCACGACTTGCTTTCTCTTCGTTCAGGAATTAATTGCACGCCAGTTCGACTTTGAATAGCCACTCCATGCTCGGTTCTCCGCACCAAACTCGTTGCATTCTCAATGCGAACGCAAGGTCCACCAGTTTCTCCTCTCTTTTCTCTACTACTTTAGCCTGGACGACACTATTTATCGCGCACAAAGTCAACTTTTAGCCAAAGAAATTGACGAGAAATGATTTTAGTAATGTTCTCGTATTGAACGGTACACGAACTCGTGGCAGATATATCCGATCTGGGATTCATTTTCAAAGTTCCTGCAAATGACAGTGTAACTGCTCGACATTATAGGCGCGTTGATTGCATCGAAACGAGACGCGTCGCTTTGTAATCGCGTATTACGAGTTCCCATTCAATGCGCGCCACCTCTTTTTCCTTTGTCAAACAGCATCAGATCAGCGCACAATGCATCGATGCTCGTGCCGTGCATCTGCACGCGAGGCAGTCGTTTTGTGCGTCTCTAGTGCCTTCGTTCAAGGCGCCGAGACGTCGAGTTTCGCGCCGCTTGGTCGTGATGGTAGAAGAAAAAAAAAAAAAAAAAGGAAAATGAACCGATTTACCTGCGATTCCAGGCGAACAAAATTAATTGGCACCGTAATGAGAGAGAGGTAGAGAGAACGGTATTCATAGCATCGATGTCGATTTCGATTTCGATTCGAGCAGAAAACGTGCCGTCAAACGAACGCAGAGATCAGTTCTCCTTTAAACGCTTTTTATCCGTCCTTCGAATAGCCCCGACGCAAACATCCTTACAGTTAAAAGCGTTTTATTCGCGCGTAAACGCGCGTACCTTGGCCTCGCCTCGGTCAGCCCGTAACGAGTGGCACGTCGCTCTCGAGACTCTTTTGCGCGACGAGCGTGTAATTACGCGAGTTGAGCGAACCGTCTCAAAGAGAGGGACGACGCGACGCGTTACGAGTACTTTCGTTTCGTTCGAATCGTCTGAAACTCGAAGACTAACCGTACCCAGACTTTGATAAACGCGAGAATCTGGTTAGGACGTGTTCCCTAAGAACGATCGACGAAACGAAATTGTTGGCCGATAGAGAGAACGTCCGTCGGACGGACGTCCAAGAAGTCGTTATCTTATCCTGCATAGTGGCTGTCCGAGCAGGTAGGCAGTTAGCTCGTATCTGGTCACGCCACGAGCTAAATTCCCCCTTACGTACTTATCGCGAATTAAAGCGCTCCTCGAAAGGAGGCCGGAGACACGGAAAGGTAAAGGCCGTCCTCGTATTATCGCGTTCGGATGGGTTTCACGCGACCCCGCAACCATCATTCGACATTAACGTTTTCATTATTCTACCAAGCACTCGCGGCCCTTTTCTTCCCTACCGACGAATCTTACCTCTTCTAATTAGCATTAGAGAGATTGTTTCACGGAACGATAAATAACACGCGTTCACGAGTACATAGGTACGCATCGCCGAAAGAAGGTACGCGTTTACGATCGATCGATCGAACGAACGACATCGAGGACTATTTGTTAAGGACAGAATGGCTGCGAACCGTGCGTGTTGGAAAGTTGTCGTGAAATAAGTGGCGAACACACGGAACGTGTTCCGTAGCCCGGGGCCGGGACAATTCATTCGGCGATATAAAAGCGCGTTCCCTCGACTCGTATCTTTCGTTCGGTGGGCGCGTGTAACCTCTGCTACGTGTACGTAGCTGCTACCCGTAGCGATAAATTTATCCAGCGATAAGAGTCCCGATTTTTGTCTTTACGAGCCTCGACGGGCCCTTCTGGCCGGCAGTTAGAAAGAAAACAAGAGAGAAACAGGGAAAAGGGAGAGAGAGGAAGGGTCGCTTCCGGGTTATGGCGTGACCGCGTCACCCTGTGCGCAGCCCTTGGCGTGGCGCGAAAAGAAAAAGACCAACGAAAGGAAGGAGAGAGAGAGAGAGAGAGAGAGAGAAGAGGGAAGAACGGAAGAAAAGGGACGGTCGCGTACGTTTACGACCCTCGAGCGTAATGCTATCGAGGCACATTTACCCCTCGAACGCCTGCTGGGTGACAGAGGGTGCAACGCCACGTCGCTTTGGTCAGACGCGTAAAAACCCTACCATCGGCGTAGAAATCGGCCGATGCGACGGTTCCCCGTCGACGTCGTTCTCTTCACGAACGACGCGAACGAGCCGAGGGTGAGAAAGGAGGTGACTGGTTTTTCGCGTGTTCCGCGAGCATCGATTCTATCGAGCTCGCGGCAATCTCTGCGACGACCGAAGAGAGGAGAAAACGCAACGAGAGGTATCACGGCTGACTCAGCTGAAACGCACGCTAAAACGCGACATTAATATTAATTATCGTGTAGCCGTGGCGCGTGTACTTTTTTTCGGGACGAAAACGTTCGACTCGACGGCGGGCCACTCGAACGAGTACAAGAGCGGGATCACGGCTTTCGAAATACTCGCGACGCGACGAAAGGGTAGAAAGTGGCCAGCTCTGCGATTAATTATCATCCCGCCCCCTACCGTTCCGAAGCATCGTTTCGTGAGAGAGAAATTTCATCGTGAACACGCTTACTCTTCGATACGGCTATCGTAAGTTTCACGTAGAAAAAGGGTGGTGGAAAAGGACGACAGAGGTTTTCACGAAGGGTCAACGAGTATTCGGATAGAATTGCCAAAGGGTGAGACGATATCCTCTCGGTGGTCTTGGTTCACGAGAAAGTCGAGAACGAAACGAACGGAGGTTCGATCTAGGCCGTTGGACGAGACGTATTCGGCGAACATTTCGATAAAAATCTCCCACAATGGAATAACCGAGCGAGAAGGGGATGAAAGAGCGTACGAGTTCGATAGGA